ACTTTTGATTGAGCGGTGTGCAAACGAAAAATCGAAGTGTGCCAAACTGTGCAAACAATGTGCAAACGATTGACATAAAAAAAGTTTTTTTTTTTAATGTTGGGGGGCCAACTTCACGTGGGTCACTAAAAGAGAATTCCGGTACGAGTCATGACAGCATCGATGGAGAATTTATTCGCACTACTAATGTGATCTTAATTGAAAACCCCAACACGATTGCCGAAGGTTTTATTCGACAGTGATGCAAACGTGCCACAAATCGATATAAATGCACACACATGCATGCATGTACTATAATATCTTTGCCGCAAATAACGCGTTGAAATTTCTTTCGTAGCCAAAATAAAATTATCGAACAAAAACGATCATACAGTTATTCGCGCACATACCTATATTTATACTTGGTTGACAGTGACGTGAGAGTGTGAAATGAAATGATCTCTGCGATCGACTCGTTCGCGATGTACTCGAAACGCGAATGACGGAATCGGTTGGTTTTTGTGTAATAGCAAATAATGTTAATTATAATTCATTTGCATAATCAATTCATTGCGAATGCATTTACATATTTCAAAATGCTCGGCTCTCTATTGCGTAGTTACGCAGTCATTTAATGATCTCTCTCTAACAATAAACCGCATATTTCACATTAATTTTCTTGTCTCAATTAGCAGTGGATTACCTTGTATTCATCTCTCACAATATATTTATTTTATTTTATTATTCAAAATATTTGATTTTTCGAATGAGTGGTATTCACTGTTTAACGTTTCGCATTTATTTTGTTTTTCTCTCACACGAATTCTGGGGAAAAAATTTTATATCGTGAGATAAAATTGCGGATCTTTTGCAACGAACCAAGATATAGATATCATAAAACAAGAAAGCGTTTGTTACAATTTGAATCATTTGTGGAAATCAGAAAGCATACATATTACAATAGCGCGGATTTTGCTGCTCGAATGTATCGAGTTATATTGAAACGTCTCGTGCACCGACGATGCACGCTTCAAAGATAGAATGGAATCAGGAAAGTAGGTTAATAAACCGTATGTGTACGTTGCACTTTATCGATCCGCGATATATTTATATTACAGAGATAGATATTTATTGCAGCATTAACGTAGCGTCTACTGGAGCTTAATATAGAACATAGGAGCAACATAAATAATCTTGCTAATCGGCTAAAACTTTTATATTCGATAATACATATATATATATATAATATATTTATATATTTATTTAGTAGTATATATGTATATACAATTTTAAAACATGTTCACGCGTTTGAATTAATTTTTGCCATCCATTATAAAAATTTGATTGAGATTTTATTTCTCCCGCAAATGTAAATATTTCGTTCAGTTGGTCACTTATACAAAGATTGTAATGATAAGCTAAGCGGATAAGTTTTATTATATTTTTTAGTGTTTTGCGCAGCAATATTGATTTTTTGTTGTAGAGCTTAGTACAAATATATAAGTAATCAAATCGAAAATCACTCGCAATCGTTTAGATTTTTTAAATTTAAACTTGGTTTTTAAGTTTTAATGACAAGAAAGAAAATGTATCGGCGTTGTGCCTATTAAACCAGTCAACTTAAAAAGCTAAAAATCAGCATCTAGGAAATCCTTCTGGCGCTCTTTAGTGATGTCAATGAAATGGGAGAGACGAGGAGCCGACTGGCACAGACTTCATTAATTAAGCGCACGTTGATTCCACTACGGGAAAGTTGAATCACTATACGATAAAACATTTTGCAACATTGAGCGATGTCAGTGTATTTAACCAAGATTGAATCGTGACTTATAAAGCGAAAGAGCGTAGTGATATATAGCACAATATGGTAATGAAGTGATAATTGAATTGAAACTCTCGATGAGTCAGTTTAGAAAATATGACATTAAATCGCGAGTACTTGGTCAATAATTATCGTTAAACTATCGGGTGTCTGAAAAACTAAACACAAATTTGATTCTATTCTCCTTATATTCTAACTTGACTTTATAATTCGATTGGAAGTTTGAACACACACAAACTTAATATCTTTCATATTGAATTTTCAAATGTTCAATTAAAACAAAAAAGCCGCAAATCAGTGAGGAATCAATTGCGTGAATAAAATTTCGAAATATATATGCGATCATATATAAAATCTCGAGTATATCTTTTAATCATGTTTTAAATAATAGCTCTTTTATATGAATTTTGTTTTTCATGATTACAGCGTTCACGCGTAGCATGTCTTGACGAGTAGGAGGAACGCTTCGACAGGGTTTTTGGCAGATTCTCTAAAATATGGCGGGCGGTCAACAGCTTCCGGAGCAATACACAGTACCACAGTACGCGAGGATCTTCCACAGTCTGCCTCATATCAACGTCTCTATACACTACGTTAATAATACCTTTAATCCTCACTCTGAAATCTATTTGGAGGTAGGTCGTTTGGAATAAATTCGCCGATTTGACTTTTTTGTCAAATTATTGAATGCTTCCCTTCCCTTCCCTTTCCTTCTCGGTCTCCTCGTTTTCGATCGCGTTAATTTAAAACAAAACGCGTAACCGATTAATTGGTTGCTACTCGAGTCTTTAAAACTTGGCGGGGATCGAGATAAGAGAATCGCTCGGGTAAAAGAATCCAGATTTAATCTTCGCAATGCCTAATTTCAGAGCAAATAGTTTATTCATGTGTATTTTTTGACCTGAAAGTTTTCTCAAGAGGATTATCAGCAAATTCAACTTATTTTCAACTCGAGATAAACGACGTACATTACAAGAGAAAATGTACACATATAATTGATACATGTATAAACATTTGAAGACCACAGGAGAACTTGATAAGTCACATTTTTTAGAGGAAAGCGTTTTTGAAGTTCGAAACGTACGTGTATTTCTCTGTACAAGTTTTTTTATAAAACTGCTTATATCTCAGAATCTATCAATAATTTTTCCCTCTCGCTTTGAATAATTAAAATATTTCATTTTTCAACTACTAAATAACATCAAAAACCAGAAATCGAAAAAAATGAACTTATTTAAGTTCTTCTCTTGCGGCCTTCATTTGTAATACAAAGTTTTGGATATATCTCGGAAATCGTTTCTGGTTAACGATATCGAAATTTCCAAGTTGACTCTCGTACTCGATCTTTGGTTTACAACGTTTGTAAGTATTTCTTTGTACCGGATTTTATATTTGAGTATCGTGTAAAATGAGATTTTTAACATACTAATTGAGCGTATCGTTCGAATAATGTCCGTTAATACCTTGATCTTGTATATCAGTATTCTTGACAAAGATATTCTCTTAGCGACTATGGATGGCATCTTAGAGTATCACTTTCGACTAAGGATTCGTAATATGTCGATCATAAGTGTTGATTCGAGTCGATATATATTGGCAAATTGGATGAAAATGGAAAGAAAACAGCGGGGAAAAAACGGCGAAAGAAGAACAAGACTGTGCTGCGACTTGTTCTTTTACAGGGCGTAAGAATGAAAGAGAAGAAAGAAGAAAAGAAACGATTCACATGTCCACGAAAAACTACGAACGCGTCGTAACACGACGAGGACACGTAAAAAAGAAAGAAATAATGCGAGGAAAAAGAAGAGCGCATGAGAGGAACCGACGAAGAAAAAGAAGGCCAAAAACACACAAACAGGTGGATGCCGCGAGCGCGCAAGAATCCGGACCGTGTGTAACTGGAAAGCACAATGCCTGGGAAAGCTCAAACAATGCACAAAGGCTTTCGCATAATGCGCCCGGGGGAAGCCCGGAACGCGAGCGGGCTTCCAACGTGCTCGGAAACGTCGGAACCACGAATCCCTCTCGTCTGTGCCTTCTCTTTTTTACTTCTCTTTTTTTAACTCGTCTTCGTCTCGAAGCGGTATCGAAGTTGGTCTCTTTGGCTGAAGTTCATATACAAAGACAAGGATCATACGAAACTTCGTCTTGCGTCTTTGTCATCATGCATGCGTCTTTGCAACAAAATAGTTTGACGAAGTTAAGACAGCCGAAAAATAAGATAAAAGCTCTGAGAGAGACAAAAAAGAAAAGCATGGGGTAAAAGTTACAAGGCAGCCGTAAATGTCCTACTGAGTAAATATGTAACGTTTCCGAGATAATGTTGCAGATATTATATTCTCGATGACTTACGACGACGATGGGACTATTTGTTATCGAATATTTTACACATGATCATAGACATATACATATACATATAGACCGAATATTCTCAACAGTGTAATCTCGCTCGAACATTCGCCGAACGTGCGTAGAACGTTACGGAATCGACGTCGCGACGCGAGACGTTGAGTGAAGTAGAATGCGAATGAAAAAAACAAAAAAACAAAAAAAAATTCGATTACATTGGTCAACATAATTTTTATTAATTTTATGAAGAACAGTGATTTTTATAGATTTTGATACGTTGAATTCTAATCTAATTCCAAAATATCACTATTACGTCAGGATTTAAAGATAAAAAATAATCTTGAAAATAGCTAGTTTTGTAAATTTCTCTTGTTTATTACAAATAATTTGTACATTCTCTCCTTTATCATAAAGTACATTCTTTGTCTTTTAAAATAAGTCTTTTATTTTATTATTGTGTAATAGTTGTTTATTAAACGATGAAGATTTGAAAATAGCAACTTTAATTTTTCTATGATGAATTTGGAGAAAGAATAATAAATAAGATAATAGGATAATATCTTATCTATAAAAATGAGAGACAAAAATTGAAAACTTTGTAGTCTAGTGCGTTCTTACTGTATAAATTTAATAAACAGAACTACTTTACGTGTGGTAACATTTTTTTATAGTATTTTTAGAAGAATAAAATAATATACAATATAATTGTTTGTGTATGTATGTGAAGAAAGAAAAGAAGAAAAACATAAATTTTTACAGAGTCTCGGAATACTAGGAAGCATCCCTGCAGTTTGGTTGATCTTAACGTTGGTGGTATTGTTAGTTTATCTGGTAACAAGATGCTGCGATCGGAGGCCGCGCCCCAAGAAGTCGATAACCGCGTTAAAGTGTTCACTAGCCATCCTGGCATTGCTCTGTAGTGGAGCGGTTGCTGTTGGTCTTTACGGCAACGACGATGTGCACAACGGCTTGATACAACTCGTAGCAGCAGCAAAAAACGTCGATGGAATACTCATGGCCGTTAGAAATCAGGTACTATTTTCTATTTTTTGTTTTGCCAATTTTTTAAATAAATCCCTAGACAAATATTTCTAGTGAAGACATTTTAGAAGTAATAAAGTTTAAGCAATTGCAATATAATTACTTTTTATTTATAGTATAGTTTATATTTTATGTTATAAGTTCTTCCATGTATCTATTAATTTCTTGTAGACTGATACTATAGAAGCGACACTAAAGAAAAAAGTACAGCCACAGCTGACTGCTCTCGGAGACGAATTTGATGCTCCGGTCAGCAATAAAACTATGCTAAGCGTACTGTTAGTAGCGCTAAACGGTATGAAGCAAAACACGAGCATAGCCCTAAATCGGAGTTTCGAGATCCGAAAGCCTCTGAGCGGGATCAGTCTCACTGGTGCCATCGGCATGGGCGAAAAGATCGAACAGTGGCGATGGCCTATCACTATGGCGATTTTGAGCGCTTTGCTTGTTCTTTGTGTTGTTCTACTGGTCGGTGTTGCACGACACTCCAGATGTGTTCTGATAACGTATGTTTCTTTTAAGAATAGAAATCAATTATTTTATATTTTTTTTATTGTTTTTACTTTATACAATTACAAAAAAATCCGATCTTGATAAAAAAAAAAAAAAAATCTATGAACTTAAATCCATAACCTTATAGTCACAACAAAGTCATTTTGATAAAGAACTTTTTTCAGATTTTCCGTTTTCGGCTTGTTTGCGGTAATCGTCTCATGGCTCATGGCGTCTTTATATTTGGCCACTTCTGTAGCTCTAGGTGATCTTTGTATGTCGCCGGACGGTTATCTAAGCAGAGCTGTACCGTCGACTTTAGCGTCTGAGGTGCTTTCATATTACACACATTGTGAGAACACTCGTAGCAACCCGTTCACGCAGAGATTGCGAGATGGACAACGTGCAGTGACCAACATGAGACAAAATTTGAACACCGTCACTCGATTAGCCATCGATCTATTCAAAGATCAGCAATTACAACCAAAACTTAGCAGTTTATCCACGGATGTAAACACTATAGACAGACTTGTGGCTGGTTTAACTACATTGCTCGACTGTAAGCCTCTGCACAAGCAGTATGTTCACGCCGCTAAGAGTTTGTGTCATTTGGGACTGTAAGTTGAAACTTATGTGTGTTTGGCTAAAGTTAAGAGAACTAAATATATTCTACATTTTCTAATAAATTTACATTTTTTTATAAAAATTGCAATAATATATAAATTTATATATCTTTCATGATGCGTTTCTAGATATGGACTAACTTTCATGCTACTAGCTAGCTTAGCTGCAGGTCTCTTATTTACCGTGCTGGTTTGGGTGGATTCTCATACGTGGATATATATACGAAAACGGTAAGCGCTATTTATATCATCTGAGAATCAAGCAAGAGTTTTATTGTTATATCCTCTATTAAGCACAAGAATTTTCATGCTTGTCACTACTTTTTATATTTTATCAAACAGCGTAGAATTATTTATCTCCTTTGTTTTGAAAGAATCCATGATGTCTGTCGACAAAAGTAAAAAAAAAAAAATTAATATCTGATGCGTTTGTTTCAGAAGAGATTACCATCAAGTTGACGAGCAAGATCCTTACTTACCACCATCGGCGGCCTCGCAGGCTATAGCAGCGCGGACCCTTCGAGGCCAAGGGTCGTACCCGCCTACAGCCCCTACGCTTAATTCTATTGGCACTCATAATACGATTAAGCAGCCTCTCTTGCTAACGCCGCCCCCACCGTCCTACGCTACTGCGACTGCTCGAGCACGTCAACTGCACGAGAGCATGTTAAAGTTTGTGCATGAGATTTTCAGTTTATCCTTCTTGATTTTCTTAGTAATGAAAAGATTTCATGAATACCGCGCTAAACGTCGTAGGTTCAGTGCGTTTCTTTTAAATGTTGCTTTAATCACATATAGTTTATCAAAAATTAAAAACTATTGATTATTTATGTAGTATATGCTTTTTGACGAATATACATGATAACATATAACTGCATCATAAAATAATTGTTGTCAGTTTTGATTTTATATTTAATATTTTAATTATTTGAAGATTTTTCAATGTTTTCGCAACATATATGTGGAAACGGATATTAGTTTCGATTGCTTTTATAATACTGTTAAAGATATAGGATGCTTTCTTATGATTCTGTTTTATTAAAGTAACCATACTTTATAGACAAGTGTGCAAACATGATAGAATTTCGATTTCTTTAGATAAAGCTATTTTTAACACGCTGATTGTTGTGAAACAAAGATAATGCTGCAACTTGGTTTGGTTTTCCTCGCCGTTTACAGAGGTGGGGGTGTTAACGGAAGCGGAGGAGGCGGGGATCACAAATCGTCTCAGCATAATCAGCAATCAACGGGTGGACGAGCTGAGCACCGTTCTGGACTCGGAGATCAACCTGGCCAGTACGCGACTCTGAGCAAACAGTGCAAAACTTTAGAATCGAGTGACTTCTACTGAGGGCACGCCCCCGCAGGGCCCGGTAAATATTAAAACAGTGTATTTTAAATTTATATAAATGTAAAATATATATACATCATAATTACATATACATATATGATTAAAAACATTAAATAAATTTATAATTTATATAATCGGTAAAATATTTATATTATATATGTAACAGATTTACATTTTTTCTTACTATCATAATTTTTCAAACTTACATTATCTTTTGTATTATAGGTAGAGAACCACCTTGGACGCCTAGCGTGGCGTCTTTCACCGGTACCCTGTCTCACAATTCGCATGGACCTGCGCATCTTGCTACTTTTCAAGATTCTCGCAAGACACAAACGCTGGATCCGAAGAATTTGGCAAATCTGAAGAGAGGTCCAACTCCGGCTTGGAATCAAAATCGACCGCTTCCGCCGAATCCCACAAATCAACAGCCTACGTGGGAATTTGAGTCGCGCTCTCAGACGAACATGAATCAATTCAGATCATTGGTACGGAACAAGGCGCCCAACATTCGCATTCAGGATCAGATGCAGGATCAGGTCAGGACTTTAGACAGAAATTTCTCGCGCAATCAATTTAATGGTACCGCTGGCACGCAGAACAATACTGTGCCGAACATGTACGGTACGTATAATCGGGCGCAGGGAAGGCAGGAGAAACCGACGGTAGCAACGCTGAGTCAGGTACAAGGTAGCGATCCTAATCTATATGCTGTAACGGAACTCTAATCGTGAAAACAGAAGAGGCGAAAAACGCGGATAATGAACATCGTATAATAGAAGCGTATCATCGCTTTATCGAAGGAGTTTCGTCTTTCAACGAAGCTAGAGTTTTGCGATTCGGAATTCCTAAGAAAAAACAAAAGATGACAAACTACTTTTCGGGATCTGCGATAAAAGTGAGAGAATTAAGGGGGCAAAAAATATAAAAAAAACTTATAAAAACTTGTGTGTGAAACACATACTTTGTATCCGAAATTTTGTAATTGTATATCATGTACAGTGATTGTGGTACATCCTTCAACGTTATTCTCTCTCTTCGTTACCGTGTTCTTGATCGCGTGCGAAGTACTCAGGCTGGAAAATACGTACTTAAAGCAGCAACGTACGTACGTGTTGCCCGGAAGCACAAAAAGAAGAAACCTTTTACACAAAAAGTTTTACATCGACATTATTTATAAAAGTTACTACCTGCTTATTTACTCTGATTTAATCGAAATAAGCTGTTAATTTCGCGTATAATGCTTAACTAAGAAGCTAAATATCGCGAAAACTGAAGGAAATACCAAAACAATGAAAATAGAAGATACAGTTTTTATATACTTTTTACATTTTAATCGAACGAATCTATGTTGACTTTTCTGTGAGAAATATTTAATATACTTTATGTGTGTAAACATAAACATAATATGCATCTAGTTACCACAAATGTCTGGTACTGTTTACGAGACGAATTTGATGATGATAGAGTACGCTCGATACTGCCAATGCTCAGGCGAATATTTTTAAGTACAAACACGGTGATGGCAGAGGTGATTACGGTTTTTCAGTTTTTATATGCAAAAAAAAAAAAAAAAAAAAAAAAAAAAAAAAAAAAAAAAAGAAAAAAAAAAAAAAAAAGCGAACCGGACTTCGGCACGATAGCACTTTATCGCGTCACGATTCCTGCACTCGCGGCGATTTTATTTTCGCGTGTGATATTTATTGCAAGATATACATACAACGATACATATATAAAAAAATAATNAAAAAAAAAAAAAAAGCGTCTGATGTGTCGAATGAATGACAAAAAACATTTGGAAATATCCACACGCAGTACTAGTTCAAGTACTTTTTAAAGACAATGAAAAAAAAAAAAAACTCATAAAAGTTGAATCTTAATATATTTGGTAAGAATCGAGGATGAATTTTCTGCGGAGTGCAGTCTTCCCGAGACATTTTGTGGCACTCAAGATATACTCGGTATTCGGCAATTATTCATTATTTGCAAAATTGGATTGTATTTTTCAGCAATTGAAATTTGGTAATTCGTCCACATAAACGTAATGCAGTGATGAATGCTTTGTTTATATATATATATAACGGACGTGTTGGAAGATTTTACTATAAACTCTTTCAATAATTATTTTTACCAAAATATATTATCATTGCCATGTTCATTTTAAAATGCAGGTTTGTGTTTGAATAATAGTCGATCGAACAAGTTTACTTCTACAAATAGCTGTCTGATTAATAATTTATCCTTATAATTCTATACAAAATTGCTTTTATTTTGAGTTCTGTAAATCTAGTACATCTCTGAATGATACTATTTAACATTTGTGTGACAGTTGATAGACAAATACAAATGATTTTATACTCGCGCATCCGCATATAATTCAGTAAGTCTGTATATATAAATAATATTTAAGATTATAATTAAAATCATAACACGAGTAAACGTGAAGTGTGATAAATCGAATCTAGATGTTATAGGAATTTGTGGAAGCATTTGCCATTTTGGTTTGACTATAGTTCGACTACAGTTTTACTACAATTTGGATGCAAAAAGAAAAAAATTGTGCCATTCCAGTAACATTTGCATTTAACGCAACCACTTTCCAGACGTTTTTTTAGAACTACGTTGTATAGTCAGAAATATATAATCATTTATAATATTGCAATACCAAGCATTTTAAAAACAGCGTGAATAGCAAAACATCTTGATCTAATGTACATAATTGTAATATTTATTACAGAGAGATAAGATAAAAACTCATAAACTAGTAGTATATAGTTTAGTTAAATGCTATGATTTAAGTTTCGACGCGAAAAAGATAAATATTAAAATAAATAGATACACACGGTTCACGTGTGCGTAAATATGAGATAAATGAATATCGGTTTGTTTTCACTTTGAAGGTGATGAAGCACCCCTAGTCAAAATAAATAAAGTTGTGTATATTTAATATAAAGTGAAAAGATCTCTTGCCAAATTTTTAATATGGCTCAAGTCAAAAAAAAAAAAACAAAAAAAAAACAAAAAAAAACAAACAAACAAAAAATAAGAAAAATCTACTCTTTTTTCTCAAATATTTGTATTATTACTATAAATATAAAAGCTATATTAGTGCGTCATTGCCCCGATACATGTTCTAGATTTTAAGACAGAAATTGCTTATCGAAAAAGTGGTGAAGGGGCTTGCGTGTCGCGTTGATTCGTGGTGAAGGGGGGGGTTGTGCCAGTGGAGGTAAGCATGATTTCAACTTCAGTGTTTTAAAAGAACGTGTTTTTTGTTTTTAAGAACATGATGATACGCATTTACAGGTTGCCTTATTATTTACTGTTAGTACTGAAAATCTATAGTTCACACGTGACATATATTATAGATATTCAGTACCGTCAGTAAATTTCGAAACGCATCTACAGATTTTAATTGCTTGGAAGCAATTATAAATAGTTGATCATGTTTAGCAATTTTCTTTTCTTTAAAAATTAGAATCCATTTTCTGGATGTCAGTACAAAATTTGTAATAAACAGAATTTTTTTTTATTTTATTCAATGAAAAATAAGAAAAATATAAATTTTAACGTTTACTTATAATTTCCTATTGATTTATTTTATATAGCACATTTTTTTCGTTCTATTTTCTTTTTTTTTAATAACTTACAAAACACTGGAAGTGAGCATCTGGAAATAGTTAAAAAAAAAAAACCAAATATGATAATTGCAATTTGAGTCACTTGAAAATTTACATAACAATACACGCAAAACGGGATCAAATAGTGTTTGGATTGAAAAATAAAATATTCAAATGATTGTCATTTGTCAGTCAGTTACACACTCTAATATTTTGTTGTGTGAAAATATTTGATCCGCATTTTATATTTGGGTGAAGCTAACGAAACCAACTACTGGCTCACAGGCGACTGAACAGCCTGTTTAACATGTATTTCAGGATAATCTAGAGCAAAAAACGTTGTTGAACTCTTAATATGCGAATTCATAATTTAGATTGTTAATGAAACCTTTATTATAATACAATTTTGTCAATTTTTTATAGTTGAAACGATAGTCTAAAACGCATATTTGCGAACTAGTTTTCCTAATAAGCGAATCGCCAATGTTTTTATATATATTTGGTTTCTTATCATTTTTATATAATATACGTAATGTGGTATAAAAAGGCGAGAGCATCTACGTAACAAACACGAGTAAAAGAAAAAAAATAAGCAAGATGAATGCGAGAAAAAGAGAGTATGTATATATGTTTATGTGTGCATATGTCTATATACATGTGTATGCGTATGAGAGAGAGAGAGAGAGAAAAGGAAAGAGCGATAAAGAAAAAAACGGGAACTACTATTTTAAAAAGATAGTGGAATAAAATAGTAGAAAAGATAGTGACGATGTAATGATAACGTTAAGGAACTCGTTTGAATTAGTGCATTTTCTTGGCCTATGGCATTTTTTTGTCGCAAAGTAAGAAAAAATAGTCAATAAAACGATGAAAATCAAAATCCAAATTTGAAAGAAGAATTTGATTCTGAGTGTTATACACATCGACAAAATATATGAATATGTGACGTGAGACCTAAAAGCTTTCGTGCATACTTTAAGACTGATTCTGGATATATCGAAGGATCCAGGGCTCTAACATTTTTCCATGTATCCGTATATTATATATAAGTATGTAATCTTTTACGCACGTGCTCGGTATGAAATGTTGTCGGGATATTTTATTTCTGTCACACTTTTTTGACAGTATCTCTCGGTATCCTCTATTCAACATTCGTCACAAATTACGTTGCATTTCTAACATATTATCTCTTGCTATATTTATTAATGAAAGTATCATCAAGACTAGATAATAAATTTTTTTTGTGCTTTTTTTTGAAGCGCATATTTCTCTTTGACTACGCGAAAGAGATTTATTTATAAAGTGTGTAGAGGCTACTTCGATTATTCTCTAGAGATCTTATGTAAGTTATATAAATATTGCGTCTTTCTTTGTATGTGCAGTTGTGCGAATTTTGATGTAATATAAAGAGACTTATATCTCACAGAGATATATAGTGGTACATATAGAAGACGGGAAAGAACGAACGAAACTCGGTACTCGATGCCACTTTTGTATATTACAATTGTGTCTGGACAAGAAAAAAAAATTGCCATATTCTGGATTTAATTCCTCTTATTGTAATGAAAAACACATGAATATAAAAAAGAAAAATAAAAACCCAACATCTATAATTATCTGTATTACGATATCATTGTAAAAAATTTACAACTATATATTGTAACGTAAAACAAAAGCAGAAGTCTTTTCTTGTGATTATTTTTATCTATATATTTTAGCAATATTTTATTTATAACAATTCTGATACATAAATATACTGCTGGACTTTTCCTCACGTTTGATAGTTTTCAACAATTCATGATTATCTATAATGCAATATAATTTCTTATTTATTATTCTTAATCATTGCAATACTTTGTTATTGGTTACATACAAAGACAATAATACAGCTCTGGCTTTAAATGTGAATATAAGAATCTTTGGCGAGTTATTGCTTGCATCTTTGAAAACATCATCGACAATAATTTTGTTCAAGTAAATTAGATATATTTATTATACATATACATGTATATAAATATGTGTGTATATATACATATATACACACACGTATATATGTGTATATATTATGTTTGCAAGTTAACGTTAAAGAAATGCAAAAGATTAAAGGCAAAGATCAGTAGCAAAGCAATTTAAAGAAAAGAAATAAAAATATAAAATACATTTATATTTACCAATTCTAATAAAAAAAAAAAACTGTCCGAAACGTGAACATATATATTTCAGGATAGCTCATCATAATATTATACATGAAATTGTATTCAACGACAATAAGTAATTTTATTGCACATTTTATTTTTATGAAATATTTACTATATGCATATCATCAAATCAATGTTAACGAGAATACGAAAAGATAAAAAAGAAAGAATAGTTTAGCTCTGATTGTTGTGCTGTAAGAAATATGTTGCTAAATGTAAAATCATTATGTATATGAACTTACATAAAAACGATGTTGCTACGTGTACATCAGTCTAATAAGTACATGGGCCATCCCACAATTAAGTCATGATAGTTTTGAAATAATAGCGAAATTTCACAAAGTTTTTATGTGAAAGAGATTGGTGTAAGAGACAAGACTGCGAAAAGTAATTCTGATGAGAAACAGTCGGTAAAGTATATCAGCAGCAGAATAAAATTATCGTGCGTTTCATTCTATCCAGCTTCTTAGAGTCGGCAAGCTGTACAAGTTATTACAAATCACTTTGCAAATATAAAGAATATACTTCCTGGAAGAAACACTAGAACGTTTCACATAAAGCATTTCTCTCTTGTCCCAAATTCAATGACTTGGAAATTCGTGTGCTCGCGATTTATCGTATAACAATATAGTATTCACTACGACGTCGTGTTCTCAGATTCCTCTTTCACCTGCGGCTGAGAACTATTCAACAGAGGCATGCTTTTACCGCTTTGTAGGCTAGAATGACTGGACGATCGACTATGACTCTGGCTACTAGCACCAACCGGCGTTTGTATTAGCGGTTGAGGTGGAGTTCTGGCGCCGGAACCGTTGCTGTTCGTAAAATTAGGTTGCAATTGCATGTGATATTTGTAGATATTTTCCGTACTCTCTACGACACCTGCTTTAACAAATATGCATCACAAATTGTGTCATATATGTTATTTTGAAAATATGATTATGTGAAAAAAAGAGAATGTTAGCCGTAATTACCAGCCTGTAAGTTTAAACTACGACCACGAACGCCAGTCTCCTTCGAAATAGGACTCCACCAATTGACAAAAGTTCCTACTACAGGTACGTGCCTGAGAATACCCTCTTGCCATATTTTTTCCGCATGTTCTTTCTCTAAGTCTGTTTGTGCCGCTTCGATACCCCTTTTAACCAGTTCAGAAATTGCATCCATTATTTTAGAACTAGCTTCTACTTCCTGACCAACTTGTAAAACTAAAGATAACAATTCGGCCACATCTGGAAATAATATCACAGTGTTAGATGAAGATTTCATAGATAAAAATTGTATGTCAATGTTAAAAGGATGTGATTTTGTGCTTACCTGTGTCTTGTGTTACCATGCCGAATCGCACACAAGCGAGACCGTCTGCACCTTCTCCAAGAGAAAACGCAGCATCTGTGCTACGTAGAGTTTCAACTAATTGTTTATTTAGATTGTTTAATTCTTCTCTTGCCTGATCAGTCATTACGTGAATCCATGTAGGTGGAGCGTAACGCACACCTCCCAAACCTGCCCAACCAGGCATTTCCACTAGGTGTAAAGAATCATTTTCTGAGACTAAACGTACAAAGGTTTCTTTATGTTCCACTGTCGCCAGTAATATTTCCTATTCAATAAAAAAGTGCGAAAGCGTTACTTTATGAGTTTACACAAGTGTTATTGATTACAGCACTGAATCACATATCTCCACCACATTCTTAACGTTACTAAAAAAGTATAACAAGAAGTTGTGACAAGAAAAAATGCACTAGTTTATTGTGAAGAGAGGTTGAACTGCTTTATATATTTGGTAGAGATACAGTTCGACGTGCGTATTCTCCAAAGTTATTCTTACTATTTGTTGTTCAAGATAAGATATCAGATTATCCACATCTTCAGTTGTGGGCGGCTTATCGGGATTCTCTAACGGACAAATACGAATCGCGACACCGCACTGTTCTATGTCACACAGTTCTATTTGTACATTGTTAATGTCTCTTTGAAGAATTTGCCCTAACCAGGAATTTAATTTGTCGTAATAGGGCAGCACGCGTTCTGTAGTTTGAAGCTCTTTGTTAACAGGTACGAATTGAAAAACTATTGCGCTCGCTACCACTTCAAATAATTGTAAATTATTAACTGGATTCGTCAAATATTCGCTCAAGGAGTAAGACTCTGTTTCGCCACCTGGCGGTTGACTCTGAAAAAAAAAAAAAAAAAAACCAAATAAGTAAATCTGGCGATTGTCGATTTTGACGCGAATGCCAATGTATTCTTTTAAGAAATGTACTCACCAATATTCTAATACAAGAAAACTCTCTAATTTTATTGTACAACTCTTCTACAGCCAAAAAACATCTTTTAAATCTCTCGTGTACGCCGTCTCGACCTAAAACCTGCAAAACAGCCCACAAAGGTAAAGTCGGCAATCGTCTCGACAGTGAATCCGCCATCAATCCTGAAACTAGTGACAAAGTGGTATCTCTCGGAGTAGGTCTTCCTCCTTTAATATCTGCTAATCTGTACAATGTCTATGAATAAAAATTAAGAAAAATTGAATAAATAATCAATTAACATTATATTCGTCAGGAAATATAATTAAAAAAACGATAAAAAAAATTTATGCTAGAATATACTATATTCATAAATTATTGTATATGTTCAATTCAAGGGCTTATTATAAAAGGATACGACCACCGGTAACGAAGGTATACCAAGCCATGTTCCAAGTGGTAATGTAATGCTATCCGCTATTTTTGACGGCTAAAACATGGTGTTTAAAACTTTTTAGAACACTTTTTTAATGATACAAGTAAAACTTTAGTGTTGGCAAAATATGTGAACAGTTACCAAATCTTTTGCTGAGGTATTCAACGCAAGAGCAGCCAATGAATGTCCTCTGAGATGAAGCCAAACATTGTATTTATCGCATATTGCTCGTAATCGTGTAATATTGTCGCAATGGCCTGTTAAGACCGAACCAGCTTCAGCTAGGACTAGCAACGGGGTCACGTTATTTGATTGAGTGTCTTCTGCTAATCGTCGTTCCAATGCCGAGACGTCCATGGTGTGTCTCGAGCCGAACATAGTATTATGTGGAATCGGTCTTATGCAATGAAGCGGCAAAGAAAGCTGAAATAGTATAGGAAGTATGAAATAGTAATTCTTTTCGTGCAATCAATGTGGTATCTTCCACAAAAAAAATCAAATCTAAATGTTTTATTTGTGTTAATGTCCGAAGTTTCAGGGCAAATTGAGTGAGATTTATGATACGTTATGTATGTAAAACTTTCAACATTTAGGTGAAAATTCACAGAGAGTTGGAAATTATTACCTGTCTACACAAATGCTGAACAACACCAAGAGGAGCAGCAACGGAACTATAGATCAAGGGAGGCTGAGAAGCAAGTGCCGTGAAGCCCTCTTCCATGTATCGAGGATATTTTCTGTGTAAGGCAAGTCGCGTCACTCTGATTAATCCTTCTAAGTGATCCTCGTGGAAGGAGGACGCACAATCGACAAAGCGAAATATATGGCTGAGCCATCTCGTTGTGTCGGCCGCGAGACGACCGGCGAGTTTCTGGGCGTGTGACTTCGGTAGCGCGACCGCGTAAGCTGAAACGGTGTGTGTGATCAAAGCCAATCTCGCAGCATCGGTTAGAGTTGGCAAAGCTGTGATCTGAGTGATCAACGAATCCGGTGATTCTCCATCGCCTGATTTTGGTGCGTCTTCGTGAATTACCAAATCCTACACAAAAGAAAGTTTTAGTTGCGCGCATCTTTTTTAAAATATAAATATAAAAAATTAAAATTAAAAGAATTTAAAAACCAATACACAAATAAGAGTATATATAACGGAATACATTTTATATTTATATAAAACTCAGAAAGAAAATAATACTAAAAACATAATATACATACTTAGAGAATTGTATACGTGTATATTTTATATAAAGTTATCAATCAATAATTTAAGAAAAATAAACAAAAAAGCCAAAACAGTCAAACTATATAGCGAAAACAATAGAACATGATAAAAAATAGAAATTCATACTGACTGCATATAGGTCCTGCTAGTATTGGAAATCTATACTGCACATGTGACATGAAGTATAGATTTTTAGTATCGGCGCAGTAAATATATCGAAACACAGCTTGTGTAATTTACTTATCGCTGCAGTATGCAACACAACAAATGCAGACAGCACATACGCGGCCACGTGATAAGCAATTATTATAGAACTATTGCGATACCGGCGCGGTAAACGAGTGGCGCGTGTCAAGATAGCTCGCGGCCAATCGCGAGCGCCCAATGGCTTCTGCTAGAATAGACGAAGCGCGCTACCTGAACTCACCTGTATCAACGCTAATATCTCGTCCGATTTCTTCGGCTGCGAGAGGAATCCTGAGGGATTGTTCCATGTGGTGCCACCTCCGCCGCCACCGCTGTCGCCTTTGGCCGCCTGTTCTACCGCTTGCTCTAACCGCGCAATCACTTGAGACGCTTGAAACTGCAACGCACCCGCGTTGCTCTCTGCGGACGTCGAGTCGCCACCCCCGGCACTGACCTGTCAAAATTGAACGGAAAAACACACCTGAGTTAACCTCTGCTCATGTCGTGGTTCGCGATCACGACCGTTTGCGTCGTCGATTGTCGTTATGGCTCTGCGCGATCTTATACCGTCGTCAATTATCGTCAAGTACCCACCTCTAGTATGTTTTGCGTTATACTTCCCATCGCCGCGTTATCGTTTGTGTTAGCCTCCTCGGCCATCGTGGCAGCAGTCGTGGCCAGCAGTAGCGTCGCGTCGTGTCGCTAACATCAATTTGAGCTTCGCCGACGATCGATTAGCTGTATCAGACACAATGTTCCTCTCTTTTTCTTTTTCTCGCTTTACTCTATAACATATTTCTATACAAAAGAAATGCCTTTGAAGTAACAAATAAATTGATCTGTGATCATCGTAGGGTTTTTTTTTGTAGGAAAATTTGTATGTATGAGAAAGAACGGGGCCTGGCAAGTGCTTGAAACGGTAGTTTTTTTTTTATCAATATGGCTGTCGTAGCGCCATTTGTTTAATCATAAATATGTATTTTGAAGAATTATTACATGTTGTATTATGTTGTAAAAAAATGTAAAACAACGACTTTAAAGTTTTTTAAGTTTATTTATTTACGTTCTACATTAGACTGTTTTATCAAATAAATTATGTAGTATACATTTCATTGACTTAATTTATATAAATTATCTATATCTAAAAACTCATATTTACTCTGCATGGTAGCAGTTATCAAATAAAATTATTTTATATCAACATATAGAATTATACATCAAAATTAATAAACTCATTATGTAAAATTATCTCACTACACATTTGCAGGTGTACTATATGTATACAATAAATATTTTATATAATTGAATAAGGCACACAAATAAGCAAAGTGTGTGATATCAGGAATAAAATAGTATAAAGCTTAAATAGAAGAATGTTATTTAAATAAAAGGATAATACAAAAACTTATATTGGATGTAATTGTTTACAGTTGTGTGTGTAACATAAAATATATAAAAATAAATTTATTTTAAGTAGCAAAGTTATTCAATTTCGACTTTAGCACCAAGTTTTACAAGAACATCTTTCACTTTTTCAGCTTCATCTTTTGCTACATCCTTCCTAATTATTGCAGGTAGTTCTTCAATGAACTTTTTGGCCTAGTTTTGTAAAATATAACAGATTAGAATTTTTAACAATATTATATTTAACATTATGAGTTGACAATACCTGAACAAGATTTGAACCTGGTATCAAGTTTTTTACTTCTTTAATAAGGCTTACTTTTTGATCCTTGTTAATTTCAGTTATCTTAACAGTAAATTCTGTTTTCACCTTTTTTGGTATTTGTTCTTCTTCTACCTAAATAAAAAAAATTAAATATTATTAGTTAAATGCTATTTATATTTCTTGAAAACATTAAGTTACCAATTGAGCTGGAGCAACAAAAGTTCCTCCAACAGGCATAACAGGAGCATCTGGCAGATTTAATCGCTTCTTTAAAAGATCACTAAGTTCTGCCACTTCTATTAGATTAAGAGCAGTTATATCGTTAACTAGTTTGTCAATTTTTAGATTTACTGGCTTGTCAACACCTGTTAGGGAAAGTGGTGCTGATGCAGCTTGTGTCGCTGCCACTGAACTCGATTCTGCTTGTTGGGCAATGCTAAACGTAACATATATTACACAAGTTTGAGATAACCAAGAAACAAATGAAGTTATATAATTATTCTCGAGCATGATGTACACTACACCATCAATTCAAACGATACAATCTCACCATTTGGGAAATTGAAACTGATAAAGTTTCTGTCGAGATATCAGGCGGAAAGTGTTAATCATTTTGTATCAGATGTTTGCAACAAAACGACAATAACACTCAAATAACGTGAAATAAAAAATCTGCTGCTATCTGTTAATATTTGGTTTGGCTTGGTTCTTCTTTGCAACTGGTAAAATTGACTAAGGCTGCTTTTACATGCGGTGTAACTTGCGTCAGAGCAGAGAGAAGAATGAGAGCGGCCAGGCCCATAAGCAGAGATGCCAGTTCGTGGACTTAGTAAGCATTCAGCATCAAGTGGAGGGGATACGCACACAGGCGACAACCGTGTCCGTGTGCGCTCGGCGCTTCGGCCAATGGTTGACCAACCACACGGACACGGCTGTCGCCTGTGTGCGTATCCCCTCCACTTGATGCTGAATGCTTACTAAGTCCACGAACTGGCATCTCTGCCCATAAGAGTTTTTACGATCGCTATACCGGCCCGTAAGCTAGCGCATGTCCATGGGTGGTGCACATTGGCAACTACGTAGCGATGTCCACGAGCGACTTGTCGATACGTATGGCTATGTCCACGCGTGGACATGGTTTTATTCCGTGCTATGTGCTGTGGACATGGTTCAATTTCGTGCTATGTGCGGTGAACATGGTTCTATTTCGTGCTATGTACACGTCGGTATACAAGTCGGTACAGACTTGTCGCGTATGATAACGTGAAATGCGCTTTCTCAAGATATACAGGGTCGAAGTTGTTCCACTTTCAGATNTCACATCTCACACACGTCATTACGTCACATACATAGAACTGCCGCCATTTTCTCGGATACAACCGGAAATTGCATGCGACACACGTCCGAAGCTTTAGGTACCAATCTAGTTTAGTATAGACATCTGTGGGCCACTCTCAGGCTTCTCTCTGATGTAATCAAATTCTGGAGGCGGAACACCTCCACACATATAACTGGCGCATGGGTCTCTTCTCTATGCCCACTGAGCCATTACAACATTGAATTGAGTTGAATTGATGCTACAATCAAATAAGAACGTAGAATGGCACATAGACTAGCATAATAGGTCCACTGAGCCATAAGACCCATAAAGGGCCTTCTACAATGAGATATTGCTTTCCAACTACGTACACAGTGTCCACTAGTATGAGTGAGACGCACTGATATGCTCTTTCTCACGCTAATGGACACAGTGTTAAACAGTGTCGCCTGTGTACGTAGTTGGAAAGCACCCATTAGTAATAAATCAGAAGTCAGAAGCAAGAAATTGACCAATCACAAACAAATCACAGAAGAATAATCGATTGTGATTAGTCAATTTCTTGCTTCTGACTTCTGATTTATTACCAATATCTTATTGTAGAAGGCCCCTAAACATAGAATGTATAGACTTGCGCGTTCCCTACCTTTGCCATGTTAAGAAAATGTCTTCAACGTTGAGAAAGACAGCCAGTGTTGAGCAGTAGCCTCATCTTTGTCTAGCAAAGTAGTGGAGGAAAAAGAAGTCTTCGCTGATTGATAGAATAGTAGTAGAAAAGTGGGGATAGAAAAATAGTGGGGGTGAAGAGGAATGAAAGAGATTAAGGGGTGACGGCAGATTATAGGCGGTATGAAACAGTGGGCCCTGATCCCACCACAGACATTGATAGACAGAGAGAGAGTTACTGTTCAAAGTATGTTGTCTCTGTCAACCATGAAGACATCTTTTCAGCCAAACGCGCAGTCTGTATATTCTACGTCTATGAGAGCACCAAATGTGACCTATCAAAGACTGGCCATTGCCTAAACCTTCCAGGGGCACGGTGCCATAATTACAAAGAAGAAGAAGAACCAAATGTGACCAAATCAAAGTTTGGCGTATGCCCCTCCCGCGAAGGGGTAGGAGCCATAGTAGCAAAGAAGATGTGACCAAATCAAACATTGAATTGAATTGTGTTCAAATTTGATTACTACATATATTGATATTTTAATCATACCTTTATGTGTATATGTATATATATATATATATATATATATATATATATATAAATGTGAAATATGTCACTTTATTTTTACTTCTTCGTATAAGATCGAATCATTTTAGTAAAAAAAAAAAAAAAAGAAAAATATGTAAACATTTTGAAAACGTTTATCTTTGTAAATACATTTGCTCATACTAACAAATCGACATCGATTCCATTTTGCTTATATCAGTGCAAGCAACAAATGGTGTTATGTCGAATTTGTCAACTTTGGCTTTATGGATTCTGATACTTTTCTTTGTTGATTTGATTACTTCAAAAGATAAACAAATTCCAAGTATATTATCATTTTTATTCACATACAATTAATATACATACACTATTGTAACTTTAAGTGTATTTCAGTCGACTTGTAAAATAAGCAAAATTACGTTGATACAAAAGTAAATAATATATATGTCTGTGTCGTTTTTTAATTTATTTCTTGCGCTTTTCTTTTTAGAACAAAGTATTCCGCTCTTAAATTTTCAAAAGGAAAGATCGACACAAGATCCTTCTGAAACTTTTTGGAAAAGATTATTTAAAAAAAATGAATCAATCAAAACTGTTGGATTGAGATATTTAAATAAGACTTTGCATTGTAATAATGGTGAAATAGATAAAATTGTGAATAATGAAAAACATAAAAGTAGTATGAAAAATATAAACAGAAAAACATTGATGGATTATAATGATCCCGCGATAATAGACGATCTTGACAGTGAGAGCGATCAGGATCTTGCAACCTACGTTCGTGTTAAGAGAAATGGACTGACAATAAATGATTCGATTGGTTCTCATCACTCTATAAATTTCACAGATTCTTTTCCACAAAATATATGGAGCAAACCTGATGCAATAAATGCATTGAATAATTCAATTTCAAAATACAAAGGATCAAACATAGATTCAGATTACAGAAATCAATCTGATATTTGCAGTACTGTCGTGGACATTTTGCATTCACGACACAGTAGAGGAATCTTATCTAACACTGGGGACCGTAGAAAACGCGTGAAAGGAAGCAATAGGCATTCAAAACATCATATAAAAACTCAAGTGAGAAATAAAAAGCACGATACTTTGGAGTCTTTTCATAAGCCTATCATAAAAAAGGCAAACAGTATGTTTTCAATCAATAATAAGTGACAATTATAAAAATTTATAGACATTTACTTTCTCAAAATTTTTTTCCATTTCTGTATACAATTCACATTTATTTACTTGTAGAAAGAAGAAGTAAGAAATCAGATGCTCAGGTATCCACTAAACCAGTTGGCGAGTCACAAATAGAGAAGAGAGAATCCAAAAATAGTAGTTTAAACACAGTTAGTTACAAAAATATAGAAGACTTAATTGATTCAAACAAAAATGAATCGTTAACTCACAGAAGTTTCAATAAACAAGGAGAAAACACCATCGTGTTACCTCTTGTGCAAATGGGAAAAGCAGAATTGCGTGTTCGTTTAGAAAAAATTATCACGAATGAAACTTCGTCTAGTAAACCTGACAATTCGGTTAATTATTCTGCGGAAATTGGTTCTTATTCGACGGTGTCAAATTGGGAAACAATTAATGAAGTCACCGAAACTTTTATTACAAATCTTGAAGCTACCACTAATTTTGATTCTAGTAAGCAAAAAGAAGGATGTAATTTAACAATGGAAATTGTATTCAAAAAATTAAATGTTAGAAGCAATTCTAATGAGAAAACAAGCAATTCTGAAAACGCATTGTTCTATAATACAGAACCCTATCCAGTTGAATTTAATTTCAAGATCAGCGAGGATCAAAACTCGGAAAATGAAAATTACGATCATGCAACCAAGATGTCTGTGGAATCATCAGACGAAAATACAAAATCGCGTGCAAAGAGACATCAAGAAGTTGCATCTAAACATTCTTCACACAACGATGATATAAACACAATAGAGGATTCTAAACATATTGAACGAAAAACATTGGTCGTCGATAGAAAAGAGGAAGGGACAAAGTACAAAAGGACTTGCGGTGATCATGCTATAAGGTCAATCGAAGAAATTAAAGTGCTTGCAAAAAACTTAATCGTTAAGGTAAAAATTTATTATTTGACAAAGAATTACTCTCTGAATGATTTAATATTTGCTAACAATCTTTCCTTTCCTCTGTATGTTCTCTTATTCATCTTTATATCATTTTTAGATAAATGAACTTCAAACGTACGTAAATAATAAAACTGTAAATATGATGAATTTCTGCATTGATAAAAAAGCAAACTGTGCTACTATCATAAAAACGCCGAAGATTTCCTTAGAAAAACATATTTTGAATTCAAAGATTGGCAGAAATGTTGACAACTATCAACGTTTAGCAACAAATAGCAAACAGACAAGTTTGGCAGGAAGAACATCCCTAGTTTCTTTCAGTGGCTCGAGATTCCCTCCAATACAAAGCCGAACAAGAAGAAAATTGCAACGTAAGTGGGGCAGATGGATGGACTGGAGCAGCTGTAGTGTCACCTGCGGTAAGGGTCGGCAGATCAGGTGGAGACATTGCCTGCGTGATTGTGACGATGCGGAAACAGAAATGGAAGAGAAAGCGTGCCAATTACCGGCTTGCCCACCGGGAAAATTTCTAGGAATATTCTGAAAACACAGTGTTTTTGCTAAACTAATAATAATTAACAAAAATTCTCTGTATTATGTAAAATTAATAGATAGTTATAAAAGAAAACATAGTGTGTGACAAGTCAACAGAATATAAATCTTTAAAAATAAGTACAATCACATGGAAAATATGATATCACAAAAGCAAATTTGCATTAATTTAAAACATTAACAAATATCAGGCGCCAACGCAGTTATAGATTAATCGAATTTAATTGAAAATTCAACGATAATCGAATTAATTTGTATTACAATCTATCCATTAAAAATTAATGCAAATAAGCTAAATAAAAGATAACTAGGCCAAAACAAAGGACATCCTTGAAAATGTGTTTATATTGTTATGCGCTAATAAAAACTCAATTTTGATAAGTAGAAGTTTGCGAAGTAAATTAAAATTTTTATAAAAACTTGATAATTTTAGCTTACATTTGTTTAGTACATAGAAACATTCAAACATTGCTAAAATGCGATGATAACATTTGTTCGAAAAGATAATTTATGTGAGCAAGAGTGACAAAATATCTAAGTTCTCTTAAATGCAATACAAACACTTATCGCCATATGAAACTTCTTTATTACGTAACAAGCAAGTGAAATTTGTACAAGCTTCAAGAACTTTTCTTGCTCATTAATTCACATACAATATTGCCGTCGCAACTTTATTAACAAATCACTTGATCTATATTTTTTTGTTTCATTATCAAATACATAATATACAAGATATTTTAAACAATATCTTTTCAGTATTCACAAATAACGAGAACACTCGTCATTTATAGAGTTTATTTCATCATCAACGTTGTAAGTAATAGCATATTATGCTTTATAAACTGTGTGTGCAAGTAGATTTAAGTCTATAATCTTCTTTTTCCGTTCAAATGATACAACTTTGCTCCATTAGAAATCCATATTATATATATATATATGTATATTTGGGTACTGTAAAATGATCTGTGTGTGTATGATACAATATTTATAAAATGTTGTTCTACAATATTTCTTCTCTCATATTTTATTACAATATCGATCATTTAAAAACAATAATAATTGATTGTAGCAAAATTCCGTCATTCTGTTTTTAATTTTATTACTTTAGGCATAACGTAAGAGTAGAAATATATTGTGAGCAATGTTTACACATGTTATTAAGCTAGAAACATAACAATACTTTCAGTAGGCAGCAATTATTTGTCAAATTTCTGGCAATTACATATATATTAGGTGCATGCACAAGTCATAGTTTTCTTTCCAAAACTTCTCGCTTTATTCTTATAAATGTATAAAAAGCAATGCATTAATCAAAAGAATCTTCTGCCTTTGTGCGCGCGTAGCCATTGTGAAACCAAAGGATGCAACATTCAAAAGTCTCGTAAGAAAATGTATGTAAAAGCTAGTAAATAAAATAAAGTAAACCGATCACATTAATGATTGTTATTCTCTGTTTTAAGATAGCTACCAGACGATTTCCAAACTACTTGTCTATGGTTAATGAATTTTATTCACTTATCGTGTAGTAAGTTTTACAAAACTACATTTTGTTGTATTTGTTTCAGCTTTTAATATCAACATTTCAAAACTGCAAGAGTGTATTATAATTTTAAATAATTTTCATTTTTTATAAACAATCGATAGACTTATATCTATGATTTTATCTCGTATATTTTCTTAAATAAAAATTAACGTACATAACGAAAAGAACTAAAACTCATACATAGTGTACACCTAATATAGTGTAGTGAATTTCACTAGAGAATTAGATTATCACGCTCTTTTATTAATATTAAATTTTCTAATGAACTCTATTATACTGGAATATCCTCACTCCAATAAAAAATTATATGAAAAAATATGAGTTAGAGATAAAGAGTGAGATATGAAAAACTTTTAACTTAGCAAAAAAAGAAAAAAATAGCACATAAGCGATCTATTCTTTTTCTTTTTTTTTCATTTGTAACTGTTGTCAAAGCAATAAACACGCATACACACGCACGCACGCGCGCGCGTGTACACACACACACACACACACACATTCTGGTATATAGAATTTACTGAAATTTTTAATAATCAACACATCATATAATGCGATATTTCTTCATGAACATTTAACAGATAAACTATCTATTAGGATTGCCTTTGAATATAAAAGATAAAACGGATGTGTGATGATGCGCACTTGTTGATAGAGCTAACAAGTCTGCGTGTGTAAGTATATCTTTTTTATTCGATATGATTTCCAAGGCATGTGCTTCATTTCCCGACGCGTACGTATCCCCGTAATGTTTTCATGCATGGCACATTATTAACAATAATTGTGGTTAGTTTTAAACAAATTGTCTTATCTGTGTATTTTATTTACATTTTGATGCTATGCTGTCGTCACTCTTTAAGTGCATAATAAAAATGCTATAAATTAACAACTAACAACATAGAAATTGAATATTTGAAAGATTAATCAAACAAATGAAAAATCGCAACGATGTAATGCTTTTAACTATTCAATATTCAACTTAGTCGTAAGTTCAGCGTCATATGTATAATTACTGATTACATTCTACGTATACATTCTTCACGCGTACACAACACGCACGCACGCACGCACGCACGCACGCACGCACACAAAAGGAAGCATTAGTCATTATCATAGCAAATCGTACATTGTGTCATTGTCATTACTCAACTACTTAAATCGTGAAAATTTTGTGTGAGTTTTGAGCTTTATGTTCACACACACACACACACACACACACGCGCACACGCACGCACGCACCTTTCTGCAAATGTAATTATTCGGCTAGATGTGTGATACGCATACGTCGGTTTGCGGTCAAAACTTTGTGTTCATAACTAGTGAAATCACAACTTTTGGCTTATTTTTCCAAGATCTAGATCTGTGTGGAAGAACCGAAGCGGATCTTGTGGTATATATAAAGTATATAAAAAGTTCGTTATTCGTATATAAAATCTTAGTGATTTTATCGTGATCTATGAGATCAGAGAATATATCACTATTAAAATAGAATATTTTGCGCTTGTTCGACTTGATTATTCTCGTCGGAAGAACACTGAGACAATATGTCGAGTTGCTCCTTACCACCAGCCAACACCCGTACATCACGGTCAGCGTCAACGCGCATATTTACGAGTATTCTTTCTACTTCGTTCAGTTTTTCTATGCCCAAAGTGTCCACTAAAAATATAAAAATGTTAAATAAGTGTAGCAAATTACTCAAAAATATTATCTATAAAATACTTACAACCCATCGCACTAACATCTTTTTTTAAAGTTCTCGCTACAGCTAGTCTTATATTCGGTACTTTATCGCACGACAAACTTAATAGACATGGTAACATTTCCTTCACAAACTTGCTTCCATCGATAGCGTTATTGCGGATCAAATGCGCGCATACGAGTGCGTATGTTTGCCGGTGTGTCCACTTTTTGGCATTTAGTACCAGAAACTCTCGAAGCTCTTGAATAAGAGCTATAATTAGAACGTCTTCGGTGCGTAAGTAGCACATGATTCGCGTGACCTGAAAAAAATATCATATCAAGTTAATTTTGCAATTTTTGAAATAATTGCAAAGCGCATAATACGCAAGAATTCTACGTCTCATACATACCAGTTCGAGCGCAATGTGTCTAACAGCGGCGACCTTATCATCAAGCAATTGGAGGGACAATGGCGCGATGTTTTTGGCCACCTGATCCGGACTGAACAGAGTCACGATTTCAAGTAACTGTTTGGCCAGTTCTTCTCTAAACCTCCAGTTCCATTCGTTGTCCGTGGCAAGAAAATGGCTTAATCTCGGCAGATATTGGCTGCGATCAACGGGCTTAAGTATTCGCAGAAAGATTGCGAGGTGCTTGAGCACACCTATTCTGACCTCGTCGAGATCTTTGATAAAGCCATCGTAAATCGGCACGAGATCTGTGGCGGTAAGTTCTTCGCCTAAGATCATAGCAATTTCGTGAATGCTAGACGCTAAAGTACGTCTAACTTTCCAGTGCTTCGCACTTGATAATGACTGATAAGCTGTCTTCAGACACTGCCAGTTCTCTCTGCCGAGTGTGAGCGTGACCGCGGGAAAACTGAAGGCACAATGACGCGGGATGTCGGCGCCCATTTCTACGCATTGTTCCGGGTCGGCCATCGACACAAAGTAATTAATCAATATTTGAGGCACAATATTTTGCTCGTTATCCTTCATGTTCTTACTAAGGTTACAAGACTCATCGCTTTTATCAGTGAAGTCAATATTGCTATATGTATCAAAATTCATAGTCGGTAATAATTCTCGGGTATCGTTCAATGAACTCGTCGCATCGCCGTAAAGTGACGAAAGACAATCGTCATCATTATCGCCGTCTGTTTCTTTATTTTGTTTAGCGACACTCAATTGCTGATCTATTTTACTCTCTTTCTTTTTATTTATTATATCATCATTTGTCCACCAACACATTTGTCCACACTTAACAATACGGCACAACGATTTAGAAGAGTCAGATGAATCGTTCGCTTCACTCGTGCAATCTTGTTTTATCGCTTTTTCAGCGTTATTACGATTCATCGCTGATTGCCTCGCAGCATGAATAAGTTCGTCATCCAATGGTATCTCCGGAGGGATGTAATAATATAAAAATGGACTATATTTTTCTGTATCATCAGTGTCGTGCTTGGAAGGAGAATCTTTGTGCTTGCTTGTTTTCTGAAAATGAAATCGTAAAAATTATCATTTATGTTAACTTGTTAAAAGCTATAAAGATTTTATATTTAGGTGATTTTACAGAAGACAAATATTTTTATTTTGATGTTTAGAAAATCTATTTTGTGTGAATTTAAAGTAAACCTATCAGATTCTTTTACTTTCTTTAAGATCGTACAAATTTACTGAAATTTAATTTTCTTTAATGTTACATATATACTTCAGAGAATTTCCCATTTTCTGTTTCTTGTGTTTTTAATGTTTCTTCCTCTTGGTAATCATTTCTTTCTAACGAAATCGATGAGTCTTTCATGATGTATCGCATTTCTCGATCGTATTTGTCATTTCGTATCGCAGACGATACAAGAAGATCTTTAGACTCCATATTATCAGCTAGCATGAGTGTGTGACTCATAAGTGTGCCTTTTACAAAGATCCCATCGTACGAGTAACGTAAGCTGTAAAAACATTAAAAATGTTTTTACATATATCTAATTTGTATTAATATGTCAAATCGCCGTTACGCATAATCAAAAAAAAAAAGAGAAAAAAAAAACACGTTATACCTAAAATTGTCCTGTTGACCAGTGTACACTAATTCGCCATTTTTATTGTAAATAACATCGGTAAACTGTTTAGCAAATGTCGATATAAATGGTCCAAGTATTTGAAAAGCCGATAATCGCACCCACTTTGATTCGTCGGTCAAATGCTTAGCCAATATGTCAGTTAATAATGATCGACGATGCTCAGGCGTTATGCAGCAAGAAACTGGCATCATTACTTCGACACACGCTTTTCGCACATTCCACATTCTGTCGTCGCACAGATCGACGAACGTAGGAATCTGAGAATAAAATTCGAGATTAAACTGGCAGAATTAATAAATATCCCAGTATAAGTTCAGAATGTCTTTTTTAGATTTTCTGTATTTTTTATAATAATCAGTTTTTGTTTATTGAAATTCTCAATTAGGGCTCTCACCAATTCGTCAAATAATTTTTCTTTTCCTACAGCGATGCACATTTCGCCAAAGTGAGTAGCGCAGGTTCTTCTCACCATCATATCGTTGTCATCGCAGAGGTATAAATATCGTCTCAGGAAATACTTTTCTGTAAGTTCGCTACCAATCAGCGGTGCTAGTCGACACATCAGCTGCACATGAGAATCGATATAAAATATGGAATGTTGAGAATGAATTGCTACAAGCTTTTTTTTTTATGAGAAACTTAAAGAGATACGTGCACGTGCTACATTCACTTGTCGATTATAATATTCACTATGATAATAATTTTGAGCAATCATTATTCTATTTATGCTATTATAAAAAAAATTATAACTAAGATTCTGTGTGTGTATTAATAAGCAAATTGTAAATATACAATAAACAAAAACTTGAGAGTATTAAGTAATATCAGATGAGATATATCGTTCCGTTCCGCTCATCAAAGCTGGCTGTGATATGAATCAATAGCACTACATCTCACAACCACTCTGATGGGAGGAACAGTCGATTTTATCAGCTTTCCGTTCTGTAAAAGATATGTATTAATTAATAAGTCAGTGCTTATTATATCATAATACGCATTTCATTTGGCAATGACGTATATTGATCGCATAAAGAGAAAAAATGTTAATGTAAAGAATAACAATTGTACCATATAATCGCACATTCAAAGATAAATACAATACGAGATAATGAGAATTCAAATTTTTTGTAATTATAAAATTATTTTTCTCTTAAGATAAGTTATTCTGCTATTATATTGTAGAAGAATTGTTTTGTGTCGCGCATACAATAATTTTATTTTTTATATTTTTCAGTGGTATTCTCCTTATTCATTCTTTCTATTCTGAAAAAACAATTTACTTGTTAAATAGTATAAAATTTTTTGTAGTGCGTCACATTCGATGAATTGTGAGTGTCGCAACGCTCATCAAAGCTGGCTGTGATATGAGTGTCATTATATCAGCATATTACAACCACTTTGTGAGCAACGCGAGCACACTCTCCTTCGTGGCCACAATATCTTCAGAAACACTCGGACGATCTTCACGTGTACTCTTTTCTGCCTCCGTACTAAGGAGAGAAGACGATGAGTAAAACGGCGATCCAATCAGTCTAAAATGGCTGTGATATGACATAAAGTGAAGCAACACGTCACAACCATTTTGACGATTGGACCGCGTTTCTCCTGTGCGACGCTGTTTGTCGGAAGAAGCTTCGCGTGGCGACTCTTAAAAAGCGCACGAGTAATTGCTTGTAAAATCAATTTGACAATTAAATAAAAAAAAAAAATAAAAAAATAAAAAAAAAAAAAANAAAAAAAAAAAAAACGTGTACAATGAGAACGCCACGGTAATCTTCCTCGTTCACGATAATAAATGTTTGACGCGAGTGTTATTCAACAGGTAATCGACAGAAAGTCTTCACGACGATCGATTCTGCGGGCCACATCATCAAAATGGCTGTGATATGACTCGAAACATTCCACAACCAATTTGATGTATCGGACCGCAAAAGGTACAATCCTTGTTCACAGAAGATGTGAAGTTCTATTCGATGTGTTTCTTCTTCTCCGCTTTTTTACATACATGCAATGATAGTCTTCTACGTCGTAGAATTCAACTTTCACGACTCCGTCCTTTTAACCACCGGACCGCGCGTTGAGAAAGGACACAATTTTTATCATCAAAGCTGGCTGTGATAGTCGAACTCTATGACAAACCAACTTTGACGGTAAAAGCATGCCCCGTCTTTTGCCAGAATCCCGATATCTGCGTTTTTCGCGAACGCTCTTCGCCCGTTTACCCTTTTTCTTTTCTTTAAGGAAATCTTCAAGCAATGAAGACGGCTACATAATTTTGCTCGTTTTTTTTATTTTTTGATTCCATTTGCGTATGTTTATAAAAACAAACTGCTTCTGTTCTATCTTCTCCTTATCGTTATTTCTTGTTTTCATTCAACCTTGGACGATCCTTGGCTCTTTGTTTTCCAATCTCTGATTGTGACACAGATTGTGCAAATTTCGTAATTTTGAGCAATCTTCAAGCTCTTTTGCACAACATCGTCGGAGTGAACGAACGCCACATGAAAGACAAGATAGTGAGACGCGATTGCGTGAGAACATCTCACTACCCATGTCTTTCAGGAGGAATCCGTAAATATGAAGGATCCTGTTCTCTCTCGATACGCGTGCAAAGAAACACGGTCGCTGCGTACATCTATTTCTAACGGCGAGCCGCAAAATATTCCGCGTACAAATTTGTCCATATACGAATCAGAAAAGTTCGACGGCAACACAGTAGTAAGTGTTAAGGAGGCCCACATATCTCGGTAAATATAATCTTTATAATCAATATATTTAAAAACCTTAAATACTGAAAGTACAAGTTTTGAAAAAAGCTTTTTCTGTCAACAATACATTTATCTTCTTGGTTACTTATCATTTTATCATTTTTTCAAAGTAGAAAAAACCAATGATGTTTTTTAGATGGTTTAAGTAAGTTTAAATTTTATAATAGCTCTTTGCATAGATCTCCCTTCACACTTAAAACTTTTTTTTTACATACAAAGCTGCATTCTTTTAATATTAAAAAAATATCGGTTGTAAAAAGGAGAAGAAAAGAATAAATGAGAATAAAAGTCTAAGAGAGAACTTACAGAGATATTGGCGTTCCGTAGATGCTCATCGCGCGACGTGTAAGATAAATGTTCTATTGCGATACAAATTTCGTTCTCAATTGTTCTTTCGTCGAGAAGATCACGTTTCACAACAGTCATCAGTGCTTCTTGAGCCATTTGTCGTACCTATGGAACATAAGTATAATAATAATATTTACACGTGGTAGTTGGAGTTTTTGCTCGGGAACAAGCATAACATAACAGCGTGATCACTCACCTGGTTGTCCGAATCACTCAGGTACTTTATTATAATACCGAGCAAGTAGTTTTGAAGAACATTTCCGAAAAGATGTGGTGTTTCGTAACAGATAGTAGCCACATTTGGAATCTGCTCCACCAGCTCCATCCGAACCAAAGAATCTGTGAACAGAAATTTCAGAAATACAGCATGGCTACGTAGAGAGAGAGAGAGAGAGAGAGAGAGAGAAGAAAATGAGTCACGTGCAAAATATTTCGTCATTATTCCAACTTTTTTTCGAACAGGAAAACTAGTAAAAGCTTGATCTTAGAATCGAATGTAATAGATCAATATAACATATGTGTGCAAGTTGCTGTATCAAACACAATCTTTATTCAAAAAAATTTATTTAATCTCTTTAAATTTTTTTAAATTAAGTTTAAACGTATATAAAGTGAATTTTTTTATCAATAGATATAAACACGTATACACACTCTTATATATAAATTATTCACATATATAAATAATTTTTACCGAAGAAGTGCCATGTTAATTTTATACAATAATCACAAGAACACACAGTACACGCTACTACAGTAAACTTGAAAGAAAGAAAACCATGTTCTTCTCAGCATCTTCGCGTAGGTGTTACTGAATGTGATGGTTTTGGCGCGAAAGCAGCTTCCCGAAAGAGAAAATTGCGCTGGAGGGGAATGCTAAAAGCGGGGATGCCACGGGGCCCTACGATAGGAGACCTACAAGCAAGTAGAAGGGATTATGGGGTAAAACATGCGCGCGCACGCACGGAAAATCGAAGGAGGCAAAGAAGACGAAGAAGAAGAAGAAAAACCAACGTGCTCTTCTTTTATGAGGCCCTTCGACCTTTTTTGATTTCCGCTTGCCTATTTGCAAGAAGCTGTCCTTCTCTCCGCCCTTTTCTTCTTCCTTCACTCCTATCGCTGTCTCTTCTTCGTCTAGTTTTCCGTCTCTCTCTCTCTCTCTCTCTCTCTCTCTCTCTCTCTCTCTCTCTCTCTCTCTCTCCCCTCTCTCTCTTTCATGCCTACGAAGGGCGTCTGAAGGGCGTTCACATTTCTTTTACGCCCTTTGGACTTGACACGTACGCACAGACTCCATCCATTAATCATCGACCGGAGTCCTGTTTTCCTTTCTTACCCGACTGAAACCCGCCAAAAATATCCTGCTGTGACACCTAAGATTCGAACATCGCTATTTTTTATACATTATTCGAAACAAAATAGCAATTTTTTTCTCACTTTTCTTTTAGTTTAGATTTTTATTAGAGCTTTTTCTTCATGTAAGTACATGGTAAGTATATTTGGCAAACGAACAATAACTACGAACATTTGATTAGTCAGTGACCGAATAAAATTAATGTGATTGACATATCAATTCCATTTGTTCAATATATATCCAGTTTTATGATTTCCTCATTAATTGAATTGACGTGATATCATATCAAATTGTATGTACATTTTCTACAGTATAAAATATATAAAATTAATATAAATATTTATATACGTCAAAAAAGGAAGTTTTCTTCTTAAAATGTGTTTATTACGTGATGAAATTACAGACTAAAATATTTGTTTTATGTTTAAGATACGATATCATGCAAACAGGTAAAGACCGATCTACAAAAAGTCGCACTTTGTACAGAATTGACCAATCGACAATGTAAATGGTTATTTTCGTGAGATCTTTTTTTTTTTTAACTGCATATATTTTGCGGCTTATACAGATCGGGTTTAAAAAGAGCGATGACAATAATAAACAAAGAATAAACGTTGAAAGTTATATTTTAGAAAACGAAGTATCACAATAAATATTTCTAAAGCAAACTTCTGTGTCACGTACAAGTTTTACCGCGGATAGAAGAAGTGTCTATCAATTGTCAAATTTTTATTATTTAGAATTCTCAAACGAAAGGTCGTACGCATTTTCACTTGAGTATTTGTAGCGTTTCGAAAGAAAAAGAGAGAAATCGAACTCGTCAAGATTGTACCAGTTTCCGAGCCCCCTAAGTTGCATAGCACGAGGTCAACGCTCCCGTTGAAAATTGAGGGGGGTTTGACTCGTCTCCTTTTACATATCCCGCGTGTATCCAAAAATACGTAAACGCCGAGGATGCAACGTGTTTGTCGCGTGCCCCGTATAATTGGTCGCATATCGCGACCCCCTTCCGCCAACTGTCCAGAGAAAACATCAATGATGGCACGTGTTGTACGCGAACAAGATGTTTCGCGCCTCAGCCCTAAAAATAGTTGGTTATATCGCCATCTTTGAGTCTATATTGCGGGATACGGCCAAATTGCGTTCGTATCTCTTGTGTATCCGTCATGTTTTAAGGAATTTCCGGAAATACATTCATATGCAAAATGTAACAGATCTACTGAATATTTCTCTTTCTCAAACCACAGATTCTAATAGTAAAACCGTCAAATCGATTTTTTTCTTAGCGGTAACAAGACAAAGAAATGATTTGCAAGTATTTGACTTTTAATGTTACATGATGTTGTCTTAACGATTAAATATAAAGTTTTCAATTGTAGTATCTAATTTGAAATTTATTAAGAAGTAAAATTTTTATATTGTCTGTTTATAGGTTCAAAACTTTGTTCACAACAAAGTTTTGAATTTACATTGTTGAGTGATAACATCTCAAAAAATACTATTTTTTACAATTAATATATTTGATATCATAACATATAATACAAAGTATTATGAAAAATGAAATATTATGTAAACTCGGGTAAGTTTATGCAACAATATATCATAAATTTCAATACAAACTTGATCAATTTAACGTTCGTGGAAATCGCGCATCTTCTATGCGTGTTCTAAAATTCTTAAGATATTTATCTTAAGAGAAGTAACTTCTCTGATAACGTGTGATCACGACACAATTTCTATTTTTTTAAAACAATATATATTAGTAATTAGTAAAATAAATATATATTAGTAATTAGTCTTCTGTTGCATTTTCGACAATAATATTCGCAATAATTTTCAAAACTTAAAGATAACCTAAACAGAGTCGTAAATCGTTTAGAGATATATATTTAACAGATTTAACAATTTAACGCATTTACAAAAGTTCTCGAAAAAAATGTCTGAATTGAGAAACGAATGCTTATTCAAGGAAACAATACTTTCCTACATTCAAGATAAGTTATTGTTATTTGTACAACCTTCCCTTTTTGTGCAGGTAAAAAGAATGTTTCCCATCGACGCTTTTTCATAAAGACTCAGGCCGCAACGGTCGATGTTACTCAAGATACGTATCGACAAGAAACTTTGAGAGATTAGCAACAAAACAAATTTGCACTTTCTTATGAAAGTTTTTCTTCTTCAACTGTTGTTAGGTTTATTGTATAATTCTTTTATTACAGATCTTTTAACTTTAATTTACAAAAATCGTATATATATAAATGTGTTTCAAGCATTATCAATCATTATTATATAACACATTCTTTATCCTTAAATTATATTCAAAGTTTGTTACTTGATCAAGTTTTTGTGCAGATTTTTTTATACGACTATTGTCGTTCTTATGTATGTTTTGTGTTTATTACGTGAGCTTATATATATCGTGTGTGAAATAACGCACATCAGATTGATTGACTACTAGACGTGCTCCGACTGTCATAAGATGCCAGAACGATGCATCTGCATGTGAATCCTGGTACCAGCATACGCCACCTTTTTATATAAGAATCTTTGTAACCGAAGATGTTCAAATTAGAAGGAGTGGATTTATGTGGAAGAGCTGTGCTTTCTCGTATAAATATCGTGACGGTTTAATGTCGTATTCTCGAATCCACGAGCGACTTCCGGCAACGCGGCGCGTGCCATACAGGAAGTAGAGAACACGTCGTCATCTCTCGTATCTCTAACGACAACGCTTACTTTTCAACGTTTAGCCCTCCCTGCAACAACAATTCGAGCTTTTGCCTAGATATAGCCAAGATATAGCTAAGCCCCGATACAGTCGACTTGCCGATATTTATACGCTTCCTGTAGCGACACGTTGCTTGAACGCACCCCAGAAGACATGTCCAATTTTGTAATAAACCTCACACAACTTGTTATTTCGTTAAGAAGTACACGTGACGAGTTTAAAATGGTATAATTAACTGTTTTTTTCACTGTATACTTTTAAATAAAGTTATACATTTTCAATATTTATATTATTTATGTATATTTGTTTTTTTCACTCAAAAACAAAAAAGAAACAAAAGACAAAGTTATACAAATTATGTATAATCATTGAGCAAATAATTATGATTGATTTTGAGTAAAAACCGCGCACTTAAATTTTATATTTAAAGAAAAAAAAAAAAAAACATTAAACGTAGCGATCTCTTAATAAAATATTTCAATTGCATTGATTAAAATAAAAAAAAACCGGTAAAATTTATGATTAGGTAAGTTTTATAAATGTGAGTATAATACGTTATATAGTTAGTACAGTAGGGAGCACCATATCGTGCGGGTCCAGGGGAAATATTTTTCGGAAATTTCTCCTTTGGATGTTTTATACTATCGCACCCCGTTCTTCTTCGGTCTCCGCCAACGGTCCGAGATCGAAGAAGAGCGCGCAGTAATAGGAGCAGCTAAAGAAGAAATCTCCGAGAAATACTGGAGCCGCACGATATGGTGCTCCCTACTGTACATATGCAAGCCAAAACGCAGAAACTTTTTTAAGTGCATAAAATAAAAAAAACAATTAATTAATAATTCAATCAATATGCAAATTTATACAATACAATTCTTTTAAACTATTTGTAATACGGCTAATAAAAACCAAGCGCTGGGTTAATTATTAACAATTAAAATTAAATTTTTTAACAATTATTCTCATGCTTATAGAATCAAATAACTGATGTGAAGGATTTGACTCAGAGGTAATTATCTTCAATCCTTCTATGTCAGATTATTTTTAAAATGTAAGACAATTTGCAAACAAATACTAATATAATATATCATAGTTTTCCGCTGTATGACGTTCCAAAAAACAAATAAACAAAAACAACTATAAAACTGGTAGTTTTGGAAAACTTCAGACATTAAATATGTCATGTAAAAGCAATGTATGACAAAGATTACACATTGTGTGAAAAACATATGAGAGTATAGTGATTAATTATGGCGTAAAATGTTTCTAAAATAAAATAAAATTTAAGTGATCTTACATTATAGAAAGTAATAAAGTTTTTAAACATTCTTGTGCATGACTTTTCAACATGGAATTGCGTTTGTATAACAACGTTTAGTGAACATTTTAATTTACTTTATTAGAATTAAAAGAAATCCTTTTCAATATATACTTTTAAACATTTTTTACTACTTTTTCAAGACCAAAAGAGTTTTCTTAGTTCCGCAAAAAAAAAGAATTATTACATTGCTGCAATATCCAAGCAACATAAAAAAAATTTCGAAATAATATAAAACTTATGCATTCTATGAAGTTAATATTAAGCTAATAACAACAACAACAACAACAACAACAACAACAACAACAACAACAACAACAACAACAACAATAATAGTAGTAGTAGTAGTAGTACTAGTAGTAAAAAATGAGAACAATTTACCAGGATCATAGGCGAGACCTTGCACGATTGGCATAATTTCGCCCAATGGCAGAGTGACATTGCGAGAAGCAGCTTCGCGAAATATTTCCACCATTATACGGCCAACCATTTGCCTGTAACAAGCAATAAGAAGGATTGAATTATGTTACTCAAAGTATATTAGTTTGTTCATTTCTTCAATATTATAAATTAAAAACGTATAATTATTCTCTTATGACGCAAGATTCAAATCGAAGATCCTATTATTTACAATACTTAAGGCAATGTTTTCGTAATAACACATTTACTCATTATGTTAATCATCGCTATCGACGACAGATTTGCAATTTTGCTTGTTTAATCTATTGCTTGAGCAGCAATTAGAGTAACGTCAATTTTACAATACGCTTCTTTATTGACTTAAATCGTCACAGAGAAGTTTCAAAATGCAATATTTGACGTTATTACTTTTACCATCAAAATGAACTTAAATCATTTTTCACTATACGTATAGAAGCGCAGAAAAAACATACATAAAAATATTAAATATTAAATATTTTTATATATGTTTTTTCTGCGTTTTTCTTTTTATCTATTAATGTTGTTCACCAATTAATATTTTACTTTTCTTCATCGCTAATATGCTCACTGAACATATCGTTTTATTTATAAAATTTATAAGATTTTTATTACTTGTACATATTTTAGTTAAAATTTTTAATTCAGATCAATTACACAATAAAATTTATATATATAAAAAATAAAAAATAAGTAATAGAAGTTAGTTAAGATTGCTCCATAAGAAGTTTTTCACATGTTAAAATATAACACGCACGCAACATGCATGAACACACAGTGGTTTAAGAAGAGACAGCGGATTGTCCTAAAAGCAATTTGTTGCAGAAGCTTTAAAAAATAATAAAAAAATGTGGTAGGAATGAAATAAAGATACATGAGCGCGTTGCAACTTCGTACTTTATCACCATTCGTGTTTCTGTTTCGCGTGTCTTGATTCGCAAACTTCGAAATCTTTCATAAAACTCAGCTCGATAATTAGATACATAAACATGAATATACATATAAATTGTTGTTACTTGGAACTTGAAGTCCAAAGAAAACAGATTTGCATATGATATCAAAGTGAAATTCGAGAAGTAAAATATGTTTTTATAATAATGACGCATGATATAAAAAACTCAAAAAATACGAAAGCGTTAAAGAGAAATGAGGACAAACACGCGGATTCCGAGACAGATTATCTTTATCAATTATTCATAGTCAGTTCGATTATGCATCTCTGACGCGCCTCGTGAAATTCCAGGAAACTCGAATAAGTTCGATAATTAAATATATAAACCGAGTTAGGCTTCACAGTCCGACTGTTGGCCGAGACTTTGAACCTGTAAAACAAAAAGAAACAAGAAAAACCGAGTTTTCGAAGCAAACAGGACGAGATACGGCAAGGAAGAAATGAGAAGACGACGTTTGCGCGGGTAGCAGACCATCATCGGAGGCCATGAAGGCGGCGGCCGCCCTCCTCGACGAGTGGAATCGAAGACGAAGAGCAGGAAGTGGAAGACGAAGCATCGCCGTGTCGTAGTTCGATCACGTCGTTCGTTCTTCCCTTCTCCTTTCATCCCTCTCACGCAAAAGCGTACCCCTCCAGTCCCAGCGCGGTTTCCCCCTACCTCAACGTCGAGAGACGGACTCGCACCCCTCCTGTAGTGAAGAGACGCGAAAAGTGGGATCGAGCGACGACATCGCGGAGGAGATGAGGGGACGCGGCGGCGAAGCGTCGGCGGTGGTGGAGGAGACACCAACGGAACATCGTCGACGGTGCCCCACCAAGATTACAGTAGTGTGCCGATTAGTGGGGGACAGCGGCGTTCTCCAAAGTAGTTGGAGAACGCATCACGGGACGGTACCGCCCGTGAACGCCTACTGTGCGGGCGCAAACATGGCCGCCGACGACGGCGGCAGCAATCGACGACAACGGTGACGACGAAGACGAGGAGAACGAAGAAGACAAAGTCTTCCCTCTGGAATTTTCGGGAGCAAGCGCGCGCGCGCATGCTTTGCGAGCTTCACATAGGCAGGAAGAGAAGTCTCATGTTCGCGACATGTGTAAGCAAAGCGCGTCGCGATTCACGCGCCCTCTACTCACCTGTATCCGAAAGGGCGACGACTTTAAGGTTCGTCGGTCTATTCGTTTTTGTTCGGACTCAAACATCCCTTGGCCTAAAATTGAAGTTCGACAACAGCCGATACTTCACTACGACCTATTACTATGCGCATGATCACTGTAGTTCGTAAAGATCGATCGAAAGAACACGGCGTTTTCTTCCTCCCTTTCTTGCGAGCAACGTTGTGTGTGTGTATATGAAGAAGGGCTGATTTTAGGTACTGCTATGGCCGTAGACTCTCCACGATATCGATAAGTTATGCGCGACAGGATGTTGTAATCTGACAAACTTAGACAACAAAAATACGGATTTACAAACTTTGAGTAATTCGAATATCTTCACTTTAAATTGACTGCAGAAAGAATTATCGATAAGTAATAACTTATTGTTATTTATCTTTTTATTGGCACAAAATGAGTAAAAAAAGTAAAAGTTACAAAAATATATGTTATTGTCTCTAAGAAACTAAGTTTTATTTTGTCGATTTTATTGGTTTCTCATAATGTTAGTATATACATAAGAACAAATTACAAATTAATTTATTCATGCAGTAAAAATTGTAGAAAAAAAACTTGTCTGCAATAAATTTAGTTTCTTCTTGTTAATAAATTCAATTAAAAGTAAAACTTTTTCTGCTTCCTCGATAAACCAAATCTTATCTTTAAAGTTGCTATTTTATGGTTGCAGATGTCGCATATGTTTAAAATAAACATTTTTTCACAATAAAATAAGTAAAACCTTTATAATATTTTAACAAAAACTACATATTTAATTTAAACAAATATAAGTTTTTATTTGTAAATCTATGAGACGTATAAGAAATTAATGTGTTATCGTTTTTTTTCTTTTTAAAGACAATATATAACTCTAAATTGATTTTTTCATTTTTTTCAACATATAACTAATTTGATTGTTTTTTTCAAGATCGTTTTTTCGCTATAAAATTATATTTAAACCTTAAACATTATTTCGAGTTTTCTATTGAAACTTTTTCTCTTTTTGAACACAAAATCAATAGTTTGGCAATTTTATAATTTGATATCTAGAATATTTTAGAAAGATATGTATATTTGAAAGTTTTAAAAACATAATAAAGTGTTGTGTATAAACAAGCTTCATAGTAAACACTGCTTAATAATTTAAAATAGGTAGTTGTTTTCGAGACATTGCGAAAAATCTACCATGTTTCAACAGTCACTTGTTGCGCGTTTTTTAAACATTTTTTTCAAATGCCACAAAAAATCGACTTTTGCGCGTATGGTACTTTTTATAAGTTTTTCTAATGTTTCGATCTGCAGATTTAATTAGACTTCTTTATCTTTTCAATATCTGCGACTTCTCCATCTTCTTTGTTTTCAAATAACAAAAGACTTGGTACAAGATACCTGAATTGAAAGAGAAAGTTTCGGACGAAAGAAAATATTTTTTTAATCGAGCTATTAAACCTAAAATAACATATAAAATATGTTATTTGGCAAATGCTAAAACGACATGTTGCTTTTAAACATCGTAACTATTTTGTAAAAGATATATAATATCTGTACAAAATAATGTTAACGATAACGATAGTGGCGTTAGTCATTAAGTACAAAAACCATTCCAACTAAGAAGGATTTTGACTTAAAGAATGAATGTCGAAGAACAGAAGTGACTAATGCTACCGCCTCCTATATAAATTAATATTTTTCGAGTTTTATTAGTGAATAAACGATTAGTATCTACTTTAACTCCAATATTGTTTTAATCAAAAAAATCCTAGTCCTTACACAATTAAACTCTATATTTTACTATTATTCTCGAAATGTTTTTACAAAAAAATAAAATCAGCAAGAGACAAAAATGTATATCTGACAAAAACTTAAACAAATAAGAGAAACAGATAAGTATTTTTTGTTGTTGAAACAGTATGTAATAAACAGACATTTTTCATTCTATAACAAGATAAAAAAGAGAACATCAGAATGTTACGTAAAGAATCAAAGGTTACACAAGTCACAAAAGAAAATCACAGAAGAAAGTGAACAACAGATTTTATAAAGAGGAAAGCACATTGGATGTACTTGCCTTTTCTTCGCGAAGAACGAATATTTCAACTTTCTCTGTGGATGTTCTATATAGAAAAGTTACATCTGTTCCTACACCTGTCTTAGCATATACTCATTGTAACTACAAAACATACTCTAGGTTTAAATCTTGTACAGAGCCTTCCAACTGACCACGTGAATGCATAGGGATCTTTTGGCGCAAACCGCAGGCCGTGCGCGAGTTGAAAGGCTCTGATCTTGTATATAGTTTGATACGATCACGCTGTCTCTCTTTTCAAATTCCTGACTGGTAGAAGGTTGAGCAGGTGCAACGCGTGGTAAAAGAATCTTTTTCTTTTTTGATCATCGACAAATAGATAACGCACGATTTTGATGACAATAAAATCTTTAATTAAGGAAAAACTTCGCGATTTCTAATTGAAGATGAGTTTGCTCCTTGATTGAAGTTGCCCTTCTGTGGCGATAATAGCCACAGGCTCCAAAAAACAAATATATAAAGCACATGAATAAGATCATTTATAGTATTAGTATATAATAAAAATTATATAAGACTGTTGTTAAAAAACATTTTAAAATACTTATCGACAAAGACATTTAAGTCTGTTTATTAAATGGAGAAAATGTTTTATTACATTTTCGTTTATTACGTTTCGCATTAAAAGATCTTTTCGAAATAAAAAGAAAAAAAATCATATTCTTTGTTATGCCGAAAAGTATACAAATATAATAACAAATACAATTTTTACTTTTTTTTTTATTTTTATTAAATTTTGAAATGAATTTTCTTTTTAATAAAAGATTTTTGATTTTTTCCCATCCCAATATACATGTCAGAGACATGAGCAAATTCACAACGCATTAGAATGAGTTAAAATTTTCTCCAAAACTTTCGTTTGATTCTCTTCG